GTCTGCAGCTACCAACTCAACTCTACTCATTACACACAATTTTTCTCATTAAATATTTAAAAGAAATAATTTTTACAATTAAATGATTAAATAGATAGGGAAATAATATCATTATGATATTGTTATATTTTGTTTCACTATTTAGATAAGTATAGATTTTTTAAATTGAAAATATTAATATTTGCCAAAAACTAAAATAATTTAATTCAGACTGAAAAATTACTTAAATTTAAAAATCTATTTCTGATAGTATGTATCTTTTTCTTTTTTCTTCATAGTATTTGTTATTATTGTTAAATTATAAAGTTATTCAGACATCTGGTAGGTACACTTATGAGTGAGTTGGAGAACTTCCTTGAATCGCCAACAAAAACTTGTGAGTACTATTGCATGCCTTTTTATTGATATTTTTATGATAAAGTGTATTTAGTATTTATAATGTATGTTCTGTTTAAAATCTCAAAACCCCTTAATAGTGATAGAACAATGAAGGGGTATTTGGGACTCATTAATTTAATTTTCTGCTTATAACCTATTTTAACTTTTCCTTTACGTTACGGGCCGGTACAAATATAATTTAAATGTTAATGGTTTTAATATTTCTAGATAATAGTTTCGGCAGCTGTCTTTTTGTTGCTACAGTAGGGTTCTGGTTCTGTCTTGTTTTAAAAACTATCTTGTTCGATTTCTTTAGCTATAAGAAACTACTAGATCTTCTTGTAGTACACACTACCACTTCGTGCAGTACACTGTTTTATGATAACGCATATATAATTACTTTGTGTTTAGATAAAGATAAAAACTTTAATTTATTTTTAGAAAGGGGGGTAGGTACTGTTAAGAATGCTTTGTTAGTGTTATTATTCTCGAAACCCCTTAATAGTCGTAGGACAATTGAAGGGGTATTTGAGACTCTCTAATTTCAATTTATACTTATAATATATCTCCATTGTCTGCGAAATCAATATATATGTTTATTTGTGAAACACACATCATACTCTGAATCAAGAAATGCTAACCGATTCTGTAAAAATGCACCTGTGGTGCATTTTAATATTTTATTTTCGATAATTTACTTGTAAATAAATATTGTACATTATATATTAATCCCGCAAGGAGTGTCTGTTGCATGTAGGCACTTGGGGAGCAGCGCCCCCACGGGTTACCCCAGCTCAGTACACCATGCAAACTCGCCTCAACAGTACACAAAAAAAAAAAAAAATCAAAGACACTGACAGGAGCACATGAACAGTACACAGCTTTGCATTTATATTTCCTTAGAAACCACCCTGGATAGGATAGCGACTCCAGAGCCTGGTACTCCTATTTCATCCTTTCTCCCTAAGAAAGAACTAACATCCTTTCCACTAAATAAGCACAAGAACCCAACCATCCGATTGTATATATCCATAAATATCCCTTGCAGAAACACTCTTTCTTCAACTATTACTATACTTATTTCAAATGCTGAAGAAGCCATCTTGAGATAAGCAGTATCCAGTTAATTACTAACTAATTAATTACTATTTTTCTCTCCTTAGGTCTTCCACAATCTTAGTTGTACCAGTCATTGAACCCGTAGGAGGCAGTTTTACTCTAATTAATTACTATTTTTCTCTGTTTAGGTCTCATCGATCATCTCAGTTGTTCCAGCAACGGAACCGGCAAAGATGCAGTTCTACTCTAATTAATCACTATTTTTCTCTTTTTTGGAGATCTCTATCATCTTAGCTGTTCCAGCCACAGAGCCAGCAAGGATGCAGTTTTACCATAATTACTTACTAATTTTCTCTCCTTAGGTCTTCTGGATTATAATTGTCATCTTTCCAGCTATCAAGCCAGACATAAGGGAATAAGGAGATGAATGCAGTTTTAGCATTCTGTTGTTGACGTGGTCACTGTGGATGGCGTCACATGTCTGATGGCTAAATTAGGTAAATTGTTTAAAAAACAAATGTTTTCACATTTTTTATAAGTTTTATTGTGTGTACTGTTACATGCATATTTGTAAATTGTTTCTTTAGTGTAATGAATGATAAAAATCAATTTTCTTTTAGATAATTATAGCATTTTTTATAATTTAGTGTTGATTTTTAAATAGATGTGGTTCATTAAATAATAATATTTTTCTCTTTTTTTTTTTTATGTTGAAATGATAACATTGTGGTTTTGTTATTTACATTGTTATTAATTTTTTAGGAACATAAAATGTACCTCCTTTAAACTTCTTCATGTTTTGTCGCTGTACTGAGGAGGTATTCGGTTTGCAAGCCACTCATTGACAGAAATGCTCCTGTGGATGACTACAAGTTACCTGCTGGACGGTAGCTTTCCTTATAGATCTACAGGACAGATGACACCAACTTTAAGCAGAAAAAAGGTAGGACTTTTTCTTAACATGTATTTATGGACCTTTTCTCAAACAGAATTAAATTAACTAACATAATTACAACAGCCTTAAGCTAAACACAGAAAAGATAGATCATATAGGATCCTTAAGGTTTATATAGTATAAATAAAACAAAACAAGTATGTTGGAGATGGTCCAGGGTCACAGCCCACTTTGGAAAATGCATGGTTTTTTATTACCAGGTGTGTAAGTATGAAACTGGAGAATTCGTATAGAGAATAATTAATGTTTAAAAAATTATTTTTATATACATTTACTATACTTTTTTCCCACCTCTCTGTCAATTTATGATTGCCTTGGAATAAAAACTTTCTGTATAGTGGTGAACCAGTCATCATGCCATTATACATATTTTATAAGGATGGAAGCATTACTTCTCAAGATTGTGCTCCATTGATGGAAATAAATAGTATTTGAATGGAACCAAGTCTGGTGAATAAACCACAGGCAGTATTATTTTCCAACGGAAAGCCTGATAAAATATCATAAAAATAACGATAATTACTTTGGAAAAAAAGAAAGAAACTAACTATCTATATGAAATGGTGTTTAAGTGATTCCTTAAGTCCTTTTAAATGTAATTACATGAACAATAATACTTTATGACGTAATTTTTTAATATATTTTTCTATAAAACAAGGTTATATTTTACCATTTTGAAGGGAGGGGGGGGGGCTTCAACCTGAAATATATTCCAATATGGAAATATATATTCCAAACCACAATCCAGGATTTATTTTTGGGGGGCTTCAGCCTGAAAGATTTTCTTTTGTATATATTGTATGTATATACAAAGATTTTTGTATGTATATATTGGGATAATTACTTCGGAAAAAAGAAATAAACTAACTGCCTATATGAAATAGTGTTTAAGTGATAGATGAACAATAATACTTTAAGAGGTATTTTGTTTCTTGAAACATGGTTATATTTTACCATTTTGGCGTGGGTGCTTCAGCCCTAAAGCCCTTCCCCCCATAGATCCATCTGTTCCAAACATATATCCCCACCATGAGATCTTATAGTTTTCAATAATTTTCACTTTTATTACCCAATAATTTTCATAATTCTGCCCCTCTGGACAGGGGTGCCCATCCCCCTCCCCCCAAGGATGATGGCGCATGATCCTCCACCCCTCCTCCTAAGGTATTTTATATCCATCCTCTTCTTAAAAACAGTGCAAGCTAAGGTAAAATTTTAAAAATCATAGGTCCTATACAATTAAACTTTCAATGATCTGTACTATGCTTTTCTTCTGTCCACTGGTTTGAAACTTTTCAATCTGAAAATTCAAAACACCGTCGAAATGTGCTCTCCTCAAAAATTCAAATCCCCATTAAAATGTGCCCCCCTCAAACACCAAACCCCTCAAGTTGCGACATTAAAACCCCCTTGTGGGCTTCCCTGCCTCTTGATGTATATGGTATCACGTTGAAGGAAAACATAGAATGACCGAATTAACAGAAGAATAACCAATGAGTTTGTTTACTTGGACTTAACGGATATAGAACAGAATAGAATTGAAAACAAACTTCATTCTGGGACTAGGAACTTAAGAATGATGAGTGAGCATACAAGGAATTTGCTTGTTGATTCTTGAAGATGACGGGATCGATGGAATGACTTAAGTGAACCTATTGTTCATTCGGAATATGTTGGCGGAATATGGTCAATAACTTAGTAACCTTCAAGTTAACCGAGCGGGCTATCAAGATGTGGAAGCACGCGTTGCCCGGCAACCTGTTAAATTAAAGATTACAAGTTCGATTCCCTGTGCCGGAGGACTTTTAATCCTGTTGTTAATACTCCAATTCCCTGCCCTGGAAAAACCTCGTATATCCGAAAAGACAAGGTGGTAAAACCAACACACAAGTTATTAACATTAGTGCGTAAAATGATTGGATGAAAGGTTAGGACTACAGTAGCAATGGAATTATTGCCGTACGATAACGTTCTTATCGTAATATACTTCAACTAGTGCAGGAACAAGTTTATTAAGGAATTATTCGACAAGTTGCCTATCTACTGTATCCAGGATGAGAAGATAGAAGTTCATTTCGTGGATTCTCGATTTTATAAATTTCTACACGGCCTTTTCGGATCCTAACTGGTGCTCTTTTTCTGATATGAGGTTGCTAAGGTAACGCACTGAAACATCACGAACGGCACCTGTGAAAGCTGCTTTGTTTTTGAAAATTCGCGTGTGGCTGTAGTCTGAATCTTTATTGAAGTCTTTATTACTTTAATATTTTTACCGAGTTCTTTTGATATTCTTACTAACCATTGACATTTATCTATAATTAGACTTGTTAAATGTAGCTTATGAATTAATAAAATTCACACAACCTCTTTACTTTTAAAATGTTTATTTAAAATTTCTACCTGTACGTGTCCTTTGAATGAGTTTCCATTACTGAATTAGGTCTTTGAGAAGACAACTGGCAGTCCTTTTGATTACTTAATACGAGAGTTAATTATGGGTAAAATGGTCATAAATATTGTTTAATAAACGAGGTATGTATTTGTAATGCGTTACTCATACTTTTTATTCCATGAACACCACATATAATACTGAAGACTCCTTCAGTTTTCACTTTTTTTTCTCACTATGTGTTGGCTTCTGTTTCTGCACATCGGTCATTTCAATTTCTTCCTTTTGCTTTCCTTTATTCGAATCATTTTTCTTAGCCTTTCCTGAACTCGGGTCGTCTTTCTTAGGCTTTCCTGTATTCGGGTCGTCTTTCTTCGACTTTTCTGTATTCGGATCATCTTTGTGGGGCTTTTTTTTACGTCTGTGTTTTCGACTGAAAACATTACTAAACCTTTTAAAATTACAGCACTGAAAGATACCATCTGGACCGCAGATTGAATTATTTTTGCTCATAACCTTGAATAATGGAAACTTCTGTCTCAACTGTTTAAAGAGATTAAGATTAATACCACGACATCTACTTAATTGTCAGTGCCTTTTGTATATTTGTAATAAGACATATATAGTTTTATAAATATCATTTGTTTGTTTTGTTTTTTTAACTATAAGAAGTTTAAATTATAAGTTTTATTTTTATTTTTTAGTGTAATTGTAATAGGGAAAAGAAAACTTATTAAATATTCTAGATACGATCATTGCCCACTTGCGGGACTAGTTCCCTCCCCTCCACCAGTTCCAGTGACAGTACGTTCGATAGTGAGGAAGTTAAATAAGTTATGTCCGAATTAAGCGAAGACTAAGGTAATTCTAATCGGTTCAAAACCTTCCCTAAATGGCTGTCCCTTATATATCTCCGAGATGCTTCAATTCAAATCCTCTGTTCACTCCCGCAATTTATACCGGGATTTATCCAATTATTACAATTTATCCTCTGTTCACGGTCTTCAGATTTATATACCAGGATCCACTGAACAGCTGCTTTCGCCAGATCATTATTTGATCCTCAATTTCTATGGATCTCCACCCTTTCCATTCGTCGCTCCAATACCCTTCCCAACTTTAAATCCCGCCTGCTCAATCACTTCCTATCCAATCCAGTCCCCATAATATTGGAAAAAGATGTTTCTGAAAATATTTATATAAATTATTAGTTTGTTTTTAATTATTTTTCTTTCATTTTTTCTCGATTAATTAATGATAGAGCGTAAATTATATATAAATTTTTTATTACGTCTATTTGTTTATTTATTGTGATTCTTCTTATATATCTCTGAGGCTTCAAAGCCTGTGGGCTAACAGAAATGTGTTTCTGTCTTGTATATTATTCTAAAGGAATTAGTCTCAGAATAGGTAAAGTATATTATTATTCGCCATATTGTAGTTTCCTTCTCCATTCTCTCTCAGTTTGCCTAATTGACGTCTGTTAGGATTGGCGAAGTTATGGTTTGTTTACTATGTTTAGAAGGGAGGTTTAAAAAGTGATACTAGGTAAAGTTGAACTTATGGCGCAAGAATAAACTTGATTATATTGTTCCGGCTGGAGGGTATTTAGGAATACTTTAGGATCTCGGGACATACGTGATTAGATGCACAGTCTTTCTTGTTCTGTGGTTGGAATCGATAATGTAAGAGGCTATTGGGTCTTACCTTATCAATGAAGTTATCCGAATCAATTCTATTCACAAATCAAGACTTCTTTGGGACCAATGTTCACCTAACCACAACTTACAAGAAATATCTTTCCGTATCGCTCCCACTCTGTCGTCTCTGTATACAAATATTTAGTTTAAAATGTATTTTATTATATTTTATAAATATATGTTTTAAATATATGATTTGTTAAATATAATCTGAGAGAGGTTTAACGAGGTGTCCGTCTCTTTCAAATGTCACTCGGAACGAGTTGTCCCATTCCAAACGTTAATTGAAATGAAGATGGTTGTGAACAAGAACTGGAACAAATTCTAGTAGTGGAACGAACTAGCCATTTAGTTCGGAATAGTATGTAGGAAAGGTCCATCCATGCTCTTTACTTATTAATTAGCGATATAAAAAATATAATAATAAGAAAAGAACTGTCTTCAATGAGCTGTGGTATTTGCCATCTTGCAACCTGTTAGTAGGCACTTACGAAATCTTGAGGCTCTTGCGATTTTCAGTTTCAAATATTTTCCGTCCTTAGGAATCTACTATGTATTTTGATACTATCAATTCCCGGGAGTGCCGCCAATTCACTCACTAACGAAGGTAGGGAAGCATTGTATTCGTGCAGGACACTAGCGGATCCAGGATTTAATTTTGGGGGGGGGGCTTCAGCCCGAAAGATTTTTTTTTCATATACATATAACGATAATTAATTTGAAAAAAAAAGAAATAAATTAACTACCTATATGAAATGGTGTTTAAGTGGTTCTTGAAGTTCTATTAAATGTAATTAAACGAACAAGAATACTTTAAGAGATAGTTTTTAATATTTTTTTCTGTAAAACATGTTTATATTTTACCATTTGGGGGAGGGAGGGGGCTTCAGCCCGAAAGCCTCCCCTCCCCGTAGATCCGCCTGTGGTGCAGGAGGTTAAAAACTTATTTGTGCTCAAAATGAAAATTTCCTCGTTTCACGTTTCAGACATGGAGAATCAAATTTGGTTCGGTATCTATCTGTTTTTCTGTCGTCACATCGATGTGATGGCCTTCTAACCTATTATCTTTTATCCAATGAATATTCGGGAATTGTGCGGGTTGGTGCCTAGATGGATGATCCCATATACATTTCATCAAATTCAAAGTACTTCTGCTGACACACTCGCTAATGCATTTTCTTAGCCATGCCAATATTTCAGAAACGACTCGTTCGATTTGGCTCACAGATATAAGGAAGGTTACCATTGTAAAAAAAATGATTATGCATCAATTTCATTGAATATCGTCAATTACTTTATCTTAATGAGGAGAAGAATAGTTGGGGTGATCAGTCAAATAAGAAGGCAAAAATAAATGATAATATTTATTTTGTCATTTGCCGACATTTCGACGTTATTTGACTGATCACCCCAACTATTCTTCTCCTCATTATTCATGACAGTCAACTATTTAACCACTACTTTATCTTGAATATACATAAACGCTTTTTCCTTGATGCGGCTCATTCGATTTAGCCCAATTTAGAGGAAGGTTGGGGATTGATAACTAAATGATCAAGTAAGTATCAATTTCATCAAATTCTATCCATTACTTTAAAAAAATATTTTCTTTTTCAAATCTGCAAACGTATTGTTTTTACACGCTTTTAGTTTGAAAACGTCTCGTTAACTTTGATCTAGAGCTGGAGAAAATGTTGAATGTACATATTGTTTAGTACCAATTTCATTAAATTCTATGTAACAATTAAAATTAATATAAATAACTCAATAAGAGTATAATGTGGCTGTGAAATATGAAAGGCATTGACAATGTGGAAGAGAGGTTAAGTTGATAATAATCTTTCATGAGGTTATAAAACTTTAGACTATATTCAAAAAATTAATTTGAACTGTATTATTTGATAACTTACTTCCATTACTTCGATTTCATGAATTTGTTGCAAAAACGTATACATATATTGGAAATTTCAATTAGTTTTTGCTACGAGTATGTGAAAAAAAGGTCTTATTTTTTATTGTGTTTGTTTCTTTTGAAGTTCAACCAACTAGTTGTGGTCTCAATTTCTCCTTCAAACATTAAAGTAGTGTATAGTTAGTTCACTCATATTTCTATAATCATATTAGTTTTTTCTGACTGATGGAAAATGTTGGTTTCGTCAACACTGAACAAAAAAAAAAAAAAAAATGTATTTCTTCAATGGGTTAACACACACAGGTGTATTTTGGGCGGGGTCTAGGCCTGAAGATTTCTGTGAACTAAGGGAAAATCTTCTTCTGTTAAATAAAGGTTCCGACAGGTATCTGGAACAGTATATCATCTCGATTTTTAAAAAACATTTTGATTTGTTTTACATTTTTTCAATGGAATGAGAATTAATTTTTGCCGACGTTTCGACCCACTTTGCAGGTCGTCTTCAGGGCAACAAAAGATACAAAACATGTTGAAAATAAAAAATAAATATGAGTAGATATAAAATAAGAAGAAGTTGTCAGATACAGAAATAAAAGATGATATCAGAGATATAGTGGGTGATATACTTATATTTAACTACATATTATATTTAGATATACTTAATATTTATACTTATATTTAGATATACTTAATATTTAACTACATTGTCACCCACTATATTTGTGATATCACCTTTTATTTCTGTATCTGACAACTTCTTCTTATTTTATATCTACTCATATTTATTTTTTATTTTTAACATGTTTTGTATCTTTTGTAGCTCTGAAGACGACCTGCTAAGTGGGTCGAAACGCCGGAAAAATTAAAATAATTACTATATTTTAATTTAGTATTTATTTGACCGCACCTCTCCCCCGATTAACTCCTTCTCATATTATATCACTAGCGGATCCAGGATTTAATTTTTGGGGGGGGGCTTCAGCCCGAAAGCTTTTTTTTTCATAAAAATGACGATAATTACTTTGGAAAAAAAGAAAGAAACTATCTATATTAAATGGTGTTTAAGTGATTCCTTAAGTCCTTTTAAATATAATTACACGAACAATAATACTTTAAGAGATAATTTTTTAATATATTTTTCCATAAAACATGGTTATATTTTACCATTTTGGGGGAGGGCTTCAGCCCGAAAGCCCCCCCATAGATCCGCCCGTGTATTATATCAACGGTCAACCATCTCTACATCATAATGGTGTTAGTTTAATCTCATCTCTTCCTTTCAATTGTACGTCCGCTTCTACTCTACCGTTCTTAATTTATTCTCTCTTAAATCACGCCAAAGATACTGCCATTTTTCATGCACCTTCGTTTTTACTAAAGTACTAATTTCTTTTGTTAAAAGGTTACTGTAACTCTCTTCAATTGCTTTTTAATGCCATGTTATCAGCTGGATCATTCCCTCTATTACAAGAGTAACCACAAAAATTCTACCTTATATCCAACGCTCCCCAATGTTTTTAAATCTCACACAGTGTCTTTAATCAATGAATAATTTTTTTAATGATTATTACATAGAGACTTTAATGGCTGTTAACACACGAGGCTTTTATATCCATTGATAGAGCGAAATGAAAAAGACCCCTTCCACCTACGGCGGGAGGGGAGAGGCCTGGAGGGGCACCCCAGACTCCAGTCGTCGAGATGTCTCCGTGGCCTCTGTTGGCAGCCCTGCTCTCCCTACCGCTGTGCCTGTCGCAACTCCGCCGGCCGCAGCTCAAGCTGGACCATGGAGGTAGGAGCATCAACGAGATTTATTTTATTGTTCAAAAATAATTTTTTATCCAAGATTGGCAGTATCATTACGAGGAATATTGAACCAATTTAGTTTTCTCATAAAATTGTGATAAATAGTCCCAAAAAATTGTGTTATATTGACTTTACATGGAAAATAAACTAATTACCACTCCCTGTTATATCTAAAATCACGATCCAGTAGCAAATTTGAGGCCGATTAATATGTGGTATCCGGTCTTAAATATGCATGTAATTGCTCATTAACAATATAATGATCCATTAAAATCACGATCCAGTAGCAAATTTGAGGCCGATTAATATGTGGTATCCGGTCTTAAATATGCATGTAATTGCTCATTAACAATGTGCCTTTAAGTAGAGATTTAGTGTTTAATTCTTCCATGAAAATTTGGCAATTTTTCTTAAATCATTCATGATTCGATTATGGTATGTATGAATGGTTACCCTTACGATTAAATTCAATTACCTCTTTGTGAGGGTGAAACTTATCACATAGAGATACGGTCCGTAAGTTCATTTTAATATCTAGTGGCATTTCGTTAGATAGCACTGAAGCCCCCCCCCCCAAAATGGTAAAATATAACCATGTTTTATCGAAAAAAATATTAAAAAATTATCTCTTAAAGTATAAGTATTCGTGTAATTACATTTAAAAGGGCTTTAAGAACCATTTAAACACCAGTTCATATAGGGAGTTAATTTCTTTCTTATTTTCCAAAGTAATTATCGTTATTTGTATGAAAAAAAAGCTTTCGGGCTGAAGCCACCCCCCTCCCCCCAAAATTAAATCCTGGATCCGCTGGTGTTAGATATGTAACCGTTTCAACCATCCCTTCTTTTAATATCATTTCAAATACTATTCATCTAAATGATGGATACCTTTTAACCTCCCTGAATCACTAAAGGATTAAGTTTTGAATTAAATATGTTGTAACTAATTATTTTAGAATGTTTTGACGGTAATATCGTCAGAATATAAACCGATATTCACCATAGAAAATCTTAGAAAAACTTTTTTTGAATTTAAAACTGTTTTATTGAGCGGTCTGAGAGTATTTCACAATAAAGGGCAATAGTTATGATGAAAAAATTGGACATATTCATACCATGAGTAAAGAAAATATAAATAAATAAAAGCGAATTAATAACTAAGTCATAATATTTAAAATATATATATATATATATATATATATATATATATATACAATAAATACAAATAAAATAATCTTATAGTACAGTTAAATAGCACCTTAAACACAGACACACCTAGATAAACTAAGAAAGCTATCTTTGTTTGGTCTCAAAACAAGATGCTTCAAATATTGTCTTTTATAACAATTAAAAAAATATGATTTTGTTTAAAATCAAGATTAATTACCTTTTTCTGCATATATGATTACTTAAAAAGCCTACAGAAGGAAAATGTCAGGTGATTTCAACAGTGGGACAAGAAGGATAACGTATCGAAATTTTTTGAGAAAATAAAAGAGAATCCATAATAGCTCCGTTGGCTAATTCCATAGTTTTTTTTTTTATTGTTAACAGGACTTTAAATTGCTTTGCAATATAATATCTGCTAATAAAATATTTTTAGGAATTTTAAATTATACCCTTAAATTACAAACACCCATTACTGATATGTTACTGTCCTTCAGTATTTTATTTTACAGCGTTATTTAATCGGATAACTGTTTATAGTTAACTAGAAGTTATATACTAATGAATAGATTTAATAAACGTTATTAATTTTTGATGAATAAATCTCATTATTTTAGACAATTGATTTTCTTTAAACTTTTTTACAGATTAATATCTTTATCACGTTTTTCCTTTCGATAATCTCCTCATATATTGAATTACCTAATCGATTGCTAGGTCTAGCCTAAACCTGCTTTACAATTCAGGGTCTGATATTCGTGGCCTAAATCTTTTAAGGCCTTGTTCTTAAGGTCGATAGGTTTCGTCCACGCCTTAGTTTACCGTTCGTTATTTACTACAGCCTGAATATTTAATGAATTAAGAGTATTGTTAATATTAATTTAGACCAACCGCATCAATGACGTTTTCATTCCAACCGAGTGACGTTTTCATTGAAAGGTAATAGGGAGATCCTTTGATAGCGCCTGAGTTAGTGACATCGGAAGACAAGGTAGACTGTCATGGATTGGAGAGAAACATCAATCATTCATTCATCGGACAATCATCTCATTCATCGGGACAGAGGTCAGACCAGCGACAGGGAACGCCTTTGGGCTGAACTGCTCGTGACTCGGAACGTTCACTTTCGATTGGGCGTTACAATAGTGTCGGGCTTGATATCTCTCGCAGGGTTCGCTCCGGGGCATTAATATATACTTTTCAAAAGTCATTATTTGAACAGGCCAAATATTATTGTTTAAGGGTAATTTTTTAATGCAAGATACTGTCAACTGGAACAACTTAGCCACATTTTTTCTACTTTCGACTGCTATGTAAAATATCTGGTGTGTCGACTCACACGACTTACATCGGAAATTTGACCTGATTGCAATACTTTTCTTACCTAGTAAAGGTAGGAAAGTAATAAGTTAAAAATTGTGTAAAAAATAGAATAAGCTGTATCATCACTAATACGGGTTAGATTCCGATGATTTTTTTTGTTTTTGTTTTGCTGATAATTTAATTACCTTTCAAAAGTATTATTATACATTTTACTGTATAATATATATATATATATATACTTAGAAAGTTAGGCGCCATAACATTTGTCTTTTCCTTATAACTTTTTTTACTGATTTTTTTCGGCAATTTAGTCTATATACGAAAATAAAAAAAGAAGCAACAAAATCGTTTCAGTAGTTCCCTAGAAAATCTTGGCACAGCCAGACAGACCAATGGCTAAAAATGTGTTTTTCGGACTCAGGGGGCTCTGACACGCATAGATCCGTCGAAAACCGCATATCGGAAATTTGACCCGATTGCAATAATTTCCTTACCTAGTATAGGTAGGATAGTAAAAAAAGATTAGTCTCGTAAAAAAATTCTTAAAATTGACATACAAATTTAGTATCGATCTAATTTGGGAATTTCGGCACTGAAGTTAACATTTACTCGCTAAAATAAAAGCTGCTTAAGTTTGCAAACCGTGCCTAAAGTGGTGTAAAGAACCCCTATATGTTATTTTTCAATTATGAAAACATTTTATTGCCCTAGCGGATCCAGGATTTAATTTTGGGGGGGAGACTTCAGCCCGAAAGATTTTTTTTTTCGTATACATATAACGATAATTAATTTGAAAAAAAAGAAAGAAATTAACTGCCTATATGAAATGGTGTTTAAGTGGTTCTTGAAGTCCTATTAAATGTAATTACACGAACAAGAATACTTAAAGAAATAGTTTACCATATTTTTTTTCCGTAAAACACGGTTATGTTTTACCATTTTGGAGGGGGCTTCAGTCCGAAAGCCTCCCTCCCCCTCGTAGATCAGCCTGTGCTTTATTGTAAAGTAACGAACACAGGAATATTGAAATTTTGACTTTTATAAAGAAGGTCTATTACATGATGTCTAATTCATCAGAATCTTAAGGGATTTCGGTTCTCTCTGATTTAAAAAAAATTGCTTCAGAAAATTATTATTTGTGCGTGGAATATGTTTTTTTTTTTAATCATGAAATTTACGATTGTATACTAATAAATATACATCCAGTAAACGTGATACAGATTTATTTATATTTGGATGCCCTGTGCTACTATTGAGGATAGAATCCAATAGATATGTCTGTAAAAGATTATGTTATTTCTGGTGAGATTGTGTTGTTAAGATATGTCTATTAACATTCTGTTGTTACAACTGAATTGGTTAGTTCTGATGTGCATAGTAAGTGCGTTTATAAGGGTGTTGTTTAAATATATCTGTAGTAATCGTGTTTTTTTCAGAAATTAGAACAGATTTTTCAGATTGTAGGGATTTTCGATATCCCCTGAGGCGATACGAGGTCATAAATTTATGCAAGGTCGGACAATGTTCTAAAATAAGTTCTGTTGTTAAAAGTATGTTGCAGTTGCGACATCTTGGTAGCGAATTTCCATCTAGAAATTTGATACAGGAAAATACAACGAGATGAAATATAAATTAATCTCTCATTTTTATAAGGATGATATTAGGTTGTCTAGAGCTTACTCTATACCTGAACTTTGTTCTTTCCTTCATTTCTGCATCATGTGTAACCTGAAGAGCGAGTTGGTGACCTTTACGCGGAGGTTTCCTTCCTGTACTGAAGTTTATCCTGTCTTTCTTCCTCGATCCTAAATTTTAATTATTTGGTTCCGAACTCTTTATTAAATAAAATTCAAAAGAATCCTTATTACTGTTGGTTTTTTCTATATTGACGAAACTTATTAACAGATATTAGTTATTATTTGTTTCGTTATTTCACGATATTTAGCTGTCAACATGTCAATTAATATTTGTTTTATATTTTATATTAATATCGGAAGGCAATATAATTTATTTTTTTGTAAATGTCATATTATTTAATGCATGGCGATGATGCATCAGGAAATGAATTGTGAATTCAAGTTTCGATTTTTGTTATTGAATCTTCAGTTTCAAATGTAATACAAATTTTGTATTATAATTATTAACACCTTCAATATTAAGAACATTTGCTTGTCTGCTTGTCTGTAATAATAACCACATTTTATTTCCCCGTAATAGTGATAAAAAGTGAGCATGAGGATGTCTGTGGAAAGATCAACTTGAATAAAATAAAATGCAAGATAAGAACTTGATATAATTTGTTCTTGAATTTTGGAGGTCTTTTACTTTTGATTCTACATATTTTCTTTTAGTTTAGTTTATTGAATTGACAACTTAATCGTTTAACTTCTCAAGAAATTAGTTCATTAACTAAAGTTTTCTTAAAAAAAAAAAAAAAATGAAATCCATAATCCATAATCCGCTACTGGTTTTTTGATAAATATTCTTCGACATAATGTGTATATCG